TGGGCAAGGGCAGCCGCCGAACGCGCCGCTCCCACCTCTGCTCTCTTCCGCAGTGGTTCGGTGCCCCAAGCCCGCAGTCGAGAGGGGAAGGATGACTCCGCAGAGGTTCGCGTTTCCCTACGGGGCGGCCGTGCGGTTCTCCTGTGACGAAGGCTTCGTGCTGCGTGGCGATGCCGAGAGCCGGTGCCTGGCCGACGGCGCCTGGCACCCTCCCCCGCCCACCTGCCAGCCAGGTGGGTGCCAGACCCGCGCAGATGCCCCGCACTGGTTCGCACGGGCCAGGGTGCTGCTCCTTGGAATCGCCACTGATGGGTGCAATTCGCAGGGCGTTTTCTCCTCCATCTCCTCCCATTACATTATTTTTCGGCGTGCCTTTTCCTTTCAGTTCAGTGCCCTCGACCCTCGGGACAGGAGGACCTGGTGATTTACTCTTTTAAATCATGGTACAAGGTGAATGAAACTCTGTTATTCTACTGCAAACGTGATGGCCGTCAATCAGCAAATTCGGAAGTTACCTGCTCAGCTAACGGCACTTGGATTCCGCCGCCCACGTGCGTAAGTACCGCGCTCGGCCCAGGCTTCGGCTGCGTCTTGCCCCGTTTATGGCCTGAAATAGCTCCGCTCCGGCTTCGTGGCTGCTGCCCGCCCGGCTGCTGCTCCACAGCGGGGCTGGCCCGGCCGGGGGGCTGCGCAGCAGCAGGGTGCTCAGCAGGGTGCTCAGCACGTAGGTCCCTGCAGCAGAGTCTCATGCCCTCTGTCTTTGCTTCGCTTCTTTTAAAGAAAAAGCGTGATACGTGTGAGAGGATTCTTCGAAACAGAGAAGCTTTCGAGTGTGGAGTTCCTCTGGCAGAACTGAAAACTCTGCTGGAAGTCCAGAAGCTGTACCTGGAGATCCAGAAACTTGAAAAAGAGCTAAAAACCACGGCATATAGCTGACTTGTCATCACTGGTATCATAAGAACCGTCATCTTTGCATGTGGAATAATCGTGCTGACTGAGGATTTTTTAATGACTGTAATTCATGCTAATACTTAAGTAGCTAGAACAAAATTTACCAATCAGTCAAAGAACGGATTTGGTCTTATGGGGAGTCAGAAAGTGATGACTTCTGGCTCATTCTGTGAGAGCTCACTGGGTTAGGTTTGTTCGCCACGTTATACATTTTAAAGCTTTACATCTAGATATGTACGTCATACAAGTGCGCAGTTAGAAAAGAACTGAGTGGAAAGTAAATTTTCATCGGAGCCAAGCAGAGACCATGCAGACAGGCATGAACATGGTAAGAGCCACCACCCCGCACTCGCCCCACAACTGCTGCGCCTTCTTCAGCTGCAATCCAGTATAGCCCATTACTGCTCTGTTCATATATGTTGCGTTCATTATCATGCACAAGCACTTAACTGCCTAATGAGCTGTGACCTTCGCAGCAGGCACAATGAAGAAAACTTCAAAGCCTGTCTTCTAGCAAAACAAAAATGCCAGGTTTTCCTCCCAAGCAGGACAGATGTATCCGAGGCCACGGCAGTGCCACTCGCCGCATTTGTGTGCGCACCAAGAGCAGTTGTTGGAAATAAGTATAAAGAAGGAAGCGGCTGGAGTTTTTCTGCAGCATCCAGTAAAGGGGAAGCGCTCTGTTAGCACACGTCTCGTGATCAGACCAGTACTCCTTCACCCCAAGGTTATCATAAAGCTGCAATAGCAATGACAGCTCTGTCTGGCTTTTAATAATTCTACCCTACCTGTAGTAAAGGAAAGAGGTGCTTCAATAATCGGGGGGCGGTTAGGCACGGGGGGCTGCTCTTCCCCTCTGCAGGGGTGTGCGGGGGT